CAGGAAGCAACAATTAGAACTGGACATGTACCAACAGACTGGTTTCAAATCGGGAAAGAAGTATGTCAAGGCTGTATATTGTCACCCTGCTTATTTAACTTATATGCAGAGTACATCATGAGAAATGCTGAGCTGGATGAAACACAAGCTGGAATCACGATTGCTGGGAGAAATATCAATAACCTCAGTTATGCAGATGACATCACCCTTATGGCAGAAAGTGAAGAACTAAAGAGCATCTTGATGAAAGTGAAAGAGCAGAGTGAAAAAGTTGGCTTACAACTCAACATAGAAAACTAAGATCATAGCATCTGTTCCCATCAATTCATGCCAAATAGATGGGGAACAGTGGAAACAGTAAGATAGTTTATTTTGGGGGGCTCCAGAATCACTGCAGATGGTGACTGCAGCCATGAAATTGAAAGATGCCTGCTCCTTGGAAGAAAAGTTATGACCAATATAGACAGCACATTAAAAAGTAGAGACGTTACTTTGCCAACAATGGTCCATCTAGTCAAAGCTATGGTTTTTCCAGTGGTCATTTATGGATGTGAGAGTTGGACTATAAAGAAAACTGTGCACTGAAGAATTGATGCTTTTGAACTGTGGTGTTGGAGAAGACTCTTGAGAGTCCCTTGGACTGTAAGGAGATCCAACCAGTCCATCCTAAAGGAAATCAGTCCTGAATATTCATTGGAAGGACTGATGCTGAAGCTGAAACTCCAATCCTTTGGCCACCTGATGCAAAGAACTGATTCATTAGAAAAGACCCTGATGCTGGGAAAGATTGAAGGTGGGAAGAGAAGGTTGGATGGCATCACTGACTCGATGGACATGAGTTTGAGTAAACTCTGGAAGTTGGTGATGGACAGTGAAACATGGTGAGTTGCAGTCCATGGGGTCACAAAGAGTTGGACACGACTGGGCAACTGAATTGAACTGACCTAGAATTCTACCTAAAATAGAAATCTCTCTCAAAAACGAGGGTATCATAAAGATTATTTTATGATTAAAAAAATCTACTAAAATTCATCACCAGTAAACTTGCCTTGAAGAGAAAAAAATGTTTTTTTAAAGCAGTAGTAAAACTAATGTAAGGTTTAAAGAAAGGAGTGAAGGACACCAAAAAGAATAAATATATAGGAACCTAGAGGAGGTACCCTAGGTGAGGGAATAGCTTTGTAGGTAGATGATGATACTGTCTTACCACTTCTATGGCCCCAGATTAAAACAGAAAAAAGAAAGAATACCCTCTTGTAGAACATAAAATAGCAACTTTGTTGAAGTATAATTTACATATGCACAATTTAGATATACTGGTTGATGACTTTTGGCAGATGTGTACACTTTTGAAACCACCAACCCAGTCACAGTATACAATGATTTCCTCACCCCTAAGGGATTCTCTCTTGCCCCTTTGCTTCCAGTCTTCTCCAACACTCCACTACAGATAACTGTTTTATGGAATCTTGGAAATGTCAGTAATTTCATAAGTTCTAACCCACTTCAGATGAACATCTTCCTGAAATTTAAATAGATTAAGTGTCTTTAAATATCAGAACAATTCAGGATCTTTTACAGTTTCCCCAAGTTCAAATCCTGCCTTTTATTAATATGTAACAATCTACAACCCATAATAAGTAGGAAACTTCCCCCCAAAAATCATGCAGAGGATTTTTTTATTGTTCCCTCAGGGGTGTCCTTGATCCTTAGTTTTGGGAATACAGTTTAGGAAAGACACTTTACCATTCCTGATATAATTTCCCCCACTTTTGGAGAGGCATCACTAGCATAACACTACTGACATCTATGCCTTTGCTTCTTCTTCCTCTAGGAATAAATTAGCTGATGGTAAATTTTGAAGAGAAAACTGGATATGCGATTGTATTTATTTGTGGGGGCAGTGGTACCAAAATACCACAAATGAGCTATCTTAAGCAACATAATTAAGATTTAATTCTGAACAGAATTAAGACTCATTGGAAAAGACAAGGATGCTGGGAAAGATTGAAGGCAGGAGAAGGGAACAACAGAGGATGAGATGGCTGGATGGCATCACCAACTCGATGGATATGAGTTTGAGCAAGCTCTGGGAGTTGGTGATGGACAGGGAGACCTGGCGTTGCAGTCCATGGGGTCACAAAGAGTCGGACACGACTGAGCGACTGAACTGACTAAGCAACAGAAACATATTGTCTCACAATTCTGGAAGCTAGAAGTCCAAGATGACTATGTCAGCAGAGTTTATTTCTTCCAAGCACTGGGGGATCTGCTCTATGCTTCATGCTTAGCTTCTGGTGGTTTGCTAGCAATCTCTGAATTTTCTTAACTTGTAGAAGCATACCCATATTTCTGCCTTTATCTCCACATGATGTTCTTTCTGTCTGTTGTCTGTGTCCAAATTGTTCTTTTAAAAAGAAGGATACCAATCATATTGGATTAGAAGCCCAGCCTGCTCCAATATGACTTCATCTTAATTACATCTGAAAGAACCCTGTTCCCAGTCAAGGTTATATTCTGAGGTACTGGTGGCTAGAATTCAACATATGAATTTTGGAGGGACACATTTCAACCCATAACCATCTTAGCCCTCCATCTTCACCCTTTCTCTTGCGACTGAGCCTGGCTTCAGTGTTCTTGGCTACTCCTGGTCACGCCATAAGCTGATGGGTAAAGGCCTAACTCATTGGGGAGATCTGTTTCCATTACTTCCAGTGACAGAGAAGGAAAGAGGGTCAAATTCTGGGAATCAGGACCCAAAAATATATGTGTTCACACACACACGTACCCCATTCTCTAATATAACTCTTTCATCCATACAGGTAATATTTTGCCCCCCCATATATCTTCTCTTTTTGTCATTTCCTTAGTTGATTTAGAATTTAGGATGAGAATATGAGAATCAATGTATATCCTCTCCAATAAAGACTGGAGCAGTGCCACACCTCACTCCCTACATCTGGATGACTGCAGTGTTTGAATTCCCTTGGAGTGGAAAAATGAAGGAAGCAATCTCTGCATGGATTTATCATAATCTATCAGGGAATGTTTAAGGGTCTACCCAAAGAGACTTAGATAGGAAGACGTCAATGTGTGATGCATAGAAGGGAAGAGATGGAGGGGGAGCTGACCATTTTGATGGGTATGCAGTGAGGATCACCCCAAATTTGTTGGAGTACTAAACTTCAGAAAGATTTGTCATTTATTGAGGAAGGAACAGAGGAGAAGAAACAGTTTTGGGAAGAAGTCAGTGAGGGAACACTGAGTTTGAGAGTCTTGGAGAATAGGCCAGTGAAGAAGTTCATTGATCCTCCAAGGAAGGTTGTATTTGGAGATAGGGATACTGTCACACAGAATTTGTCTGACATTATTATTATGCTATAAATAAAGTATATTAGCTAAAATATTAATCATAAGTCATTGTGAAAGGAGTATAGGAGGAAGGGCATTGGTTCAGAGGCAGCTGCCATAACCAAACTAGATCATAAGCACCTTTGAAAAAGGCAATCGAAGTAGTGACAATGGACAACTCCTTAAGTAATGGTACAAAATAGGTGGCAGATATTCTTTGCCTAAACCATGATTTCATATCTCCTAGGCCACCTCATGTGAAGAGTTGACTCATTGGAAAAGACCTTAATGCTGGGAGGGATTGGGGGCAGGAGGAGAAGGGGACAACAGAGGATGAGATGGCTGGATGGCATCACCAACTCAATGGATATGAGTCTGAGTAAAGTCCGGGAGTTTGTGATGGACAGGGAGGCCTGGCGTGCTGCGATTCATGGGGTCGCAAAGTGTCGGACAGGACTGAGCGACTGAACTGAACTGAATTGAGCTATCAACTGTTGTTAAAAGAAAGTCCCAACAACCCAGTCTCCCACTCCATAGAAATGACAGTGTCCAAAATCTTACTCTAGTAGCCATCTGCTAAGACGAGCTGTGAGAGGAGTCAGCTGAAATTTATAGTTTCTTCTGTGCTATCTGGGTTAGCTTTCTTAATTGTCAAACAGAGGATTCATGATCTTTGCTCTGGCTCAAGTAAAGTAAAAATAAACAAAAGCTTTTCTGAGACACTAACATCAATGTTTCGAAAAGTTGAATTATTCCTTTACCGAGGCAGGGCAGTACCTTTAAGGGTGTACCCTCAACTGCTGACTTGTCAACACTATAGCCTATTACATGGTGTTGATGAGAAGTTTCTTTCCCGAATATTATCTTACAAGATGGTATACAATTAAATTTGATCGTTGAGGCCTCTCTCAATTTAAATAGGATTCTATAATTGGCAAGTGGGATTTTAAATAGAAATTATTTTTCAAAAAAAAAATTATTTTCAAAGGTGTTCTCAACTTGAAGAATCCATATTTAGTTTTAACCAAGCAGACACCCATTTTAGTGATACACTTAACTTTATACATGGAAACATTGGTCTTTTATATTTACAGAAGCTTATCACTATAAAAGCAAAAAAGTTAGTGATGTATGTATGTGTATGTATGTTAGTCACTCAGTCGTGAGAAATATCAATCAAAATATCCAGCAAAAAAATCCCCCAAATGAATAGTTTGTTATCTATAGATTTATATCTGATTTAATTCAGAAAAACCAGTGTATTCTAGCCACTAGTTTTCTCATAGCCTCTTTCACCTCCTTGTTCCTCAGACTGTAGATGAGTGGGTTCAACATGGGGACCACCACCGTGTAGATTACAGATGCCACTTTGACCTGATCAGCTGAGTAGCTTGACTTGGGCATCACATAAACAAATAAAACTGTCCCATAAAACAAAGTGACTGCAGTGAGGTGGGAGGTGCAGGTCGAAAAGGCCTTCTTTCTCCCCTCAGTGGAGCGCATCTTCAGGATTGAGTGGAGGATATAGCTGTAGGACACAATTATGGTAAACAGTGTGCTTATGAGGACTGATGCTGAGGAGATGGCTGGGGATATCTCAGCAATATAAACATGGCCACAAGAAAGCTTCAAGAGTGGGAAGAGGTCACAGAAAAAATGATTGATTTTATTTGGTCCACAGAAGGAGAGATTCATCAAACAGCCGGTAAATGATGAAGCATTCATGCAACCACCCAAGTAGGAGGCCCCCAACAGGAGGAAGCAGACCACTGGGGACATCTGGGTGGAGTAGAGCAGAGGAGAACAAATGGCCACATAGCGATCATAGGCCATGGTGGCCAGCAAGAAGCACTCTGTAGTCCCAAAGGCAACATCAGAGGCAAGCTGGACTATACAACCAGTGATTGGGATGGCAGTTCTCTCTTTTAAGAAACTCATCAGCATGATTGGTGTAACTGATGTGGAATACCCAATGTCCACAAAGGCCAAATGGCTAAGGAAAAGGTACATAGGTGTGTGAAGCTGTGGGCTACTTCGGATTAGGATGATTATGCTGATGTTTCCCACTATGGTAACTACGTAAACTCCTAGAAAAATCACAAAGAAGATGGCACGTAGTGTCACATTATCCGTTAATCCCAAAATAATGAACTCTGTCACTGTTGTACGGTTTGCAGCCTCCATCTATTCATTTAACAGTGCCTATTGAAATCAGAACCAGAGGAGATTAAATTGACTGGAATGACCCCACATTTTATATGCATACCTAAGCATAACCTAAATATAATCTTATACATATTTCAAAAGGTAAATTTGCCTTATTTACAGAATATTTTGTGCACATAAGCTTTCTTTTCAGTTTCCATGAAAATATTAAAATTGAAGCCTCAGTTACCTTAGGAGTCAGCTGTTTTATTCCGGTGTGTATACCAAGGAATAAGTCTTACCTGTGTGCAAGGGAGATATGCAAAGGAATGTTTATGGCAATATTGATTGCAATAACATGAACTGTAAATAACATGAATGTTCATAGAAAGAGCAGCTCTTGATATTCCAGCCCCATCCTAAATATGCCTCTAGTCAGTAATCTCTGTCTTAGTAAATGCTATCTCCATTTATCCAACTGATCAGGCCAAAAAATGTGATGTTAACTTTGACATCTCTTTCTTCCTTGATATTTTTCCTGGAATAAAAAAAAAAATCTGATAGCAAGAGCTAAAAGTTGTCCATGTTCAAGATGAAAAATGGAAGTAGAACTTTTACTGTTGTGAGCAAAACCTCCTGGATGTTTTGCAAAATCTTCCAGGACTTAACTTCTATACCATACCTTTTTATACTTAGGGATTGTATGAAGCAATACGAAGAGTCTAGATATTTTTATGGGCAAGGATTAAATGCAAGAAAACTGGAAGATTTGGGAACTTGGGTTAGTTATGTTTTGGTTTCTTCAGTTCTATAAAGCAACTACAAAGAAGCAGGGGCATAAAATGAGGATGAGAGGAAGGGGTAGTTAGGGAGGCAGAGACAAAGTGAAGAAAGCTAGGAAACTGGACTGAAAGATTAGCACTTCATAATATTGCTCCCTTACTTCAAAATAAATCACACAGATCAAGGGCAGGTGAGAATATATTAAATACCTTCAGTCATTTCCATGACTCCTCTAATTTAATGATCAACATATTCTTATTAATAATTTGTTTTTTAAAGAACCTCTATTTTAAGGATTAAGAAAACATATAAGCTATGATAAACCTAGACAGTGTATTAAAAAGCAGAGACATAAATTTGCTGACAAAGGTCCATATAGTCAAAGCTATGGTTTTTCCAGTAGTCATCTATGGATGTGAGAGTTGGACGGTAAAGAAGGCTGTGAGCCAAAGAATGGATGATTTCAAACTGTGGTGCTGGAGAAGACTGAGAGTTCCTTGGACTGAAAGGAGATCAAACCAATCAATCTTAAGGAAAATCAACCCTGAATATTCATTGGAAGGACTGATGCTGAAGCTCCAGCTTCAATATTTTGCCCACCTGATGTAAAGAGCTGGCTCATTGGAAAAGACCATGATGCTGGGAAAGATTGAAGGCAGGAGGAGAAGGGCGTAACAGAGGATGAGATGGTTGGATGGCAGCAGCAACTTAATGGACATGAGTTTGAGCAAATTCTGGGAGATAGTGAAGGACAGGTAAACCTGGAGTGCTGTGGTCCATAGGGTCGCAAAGAGTCAGACTATTTAACAATTGAACAAAAACAAGAAAACATATATACATACAATCAGCAACCACACACATTTTACTCAGTGTTACATGTGAATCATGACAATGGCATGCTACAGTAAGAGTGGTACCAAGATTATGTGCAAGTGAAGTGTTGATTGCTCAGTTGCAACTGACTCTGCCACTCTATTAACTGTAGCCAGCCAGGCTCCTCTGTCCATGGAATTTTCTAGACAATAATACTGGAGTGGGTAGCCATTCCCTTCTCCAGCGGATCTTCCCAATCCAGGAGTCAAATCTGGGTCTCCCACATTGCAGACAGATTCTTGACTGTCTGAACCACCAGGGAAGGATTATGTGAGTGAGTGATCAAATTCTGACCATTTAACTAGACAAACACCCAAACCTGAAATGAATTGTATATATTTAAAGAAAATAGATGTATGAAAGACACACAAGTTTTGAAAGCTAAATATGAGTGCCAGTGTGGAAGGCACAGTGACATGCAGAACACCATGGACTCTGGAGCCATGTAGACCTAGGATTCGTTTCTAGCTCTGCCTCTATCTATTAAATCATAGGCATGTTATAAGAAATGTTTGCTCTTCTGTTTCCTTACCTGTGAAAATGAGAAAATAATACATACCTCATGAGATTCTTGGGTTAAACCACATGATATTGGTGATTACTCATAGCACTGTTTGTACAACAAATGAATGCTCAGTTACTAATAATTGGCCTGAAATAAATAACTTGTAATTTCTGATGCATAGAAGAGAATCAAATATTTCTGTGTTCTTAAAAAAGAACAAGTATGCACTAGTGATATATCCACCGCAACACTAGAGTTCAAGGATTTGTTGCTGTATAGCAAGGCATATTTAAGTGAGGTTGGTGTCATTTGGGATAAGGCCCAAATCATCTATGTCACCTGTAATTACTAATTAATTATTTGTTTTGGAAATCTACTTTGAGAATCCATTGGGATAGAGAAATTATAGGTATACATCTACTGTGACAGAAATAATGTGTAAACATAATTATGTAAAAATGTATGAATAAAATATTTTCTCAGTACCTTCAGGTTCTATTTATTTTTTGGTTAAATGGAAAAAAATGAAAATTTTGATTTCATTAAATTGAAAAACATAACATTTTACTATCCTTGAAGTTGATTATTAGATCCATATGACTAATAATGTTGTGACAATTTGTGGTTCTGAAATGCGGCTATATTCAGTGGTCCAGGTTTTCATATCACCTGTATTTAATAATTTGGGTTTGTTAGTACAATTTAGTTTACAAACATATATCTAATTGAATTGGAGTACTGTTATCAACATAAAAAGTGACACATATTTTTATTTTTTTTCAAACTATTTTTATTAGTTGGAGGCTAATTACTTTACAATACTGTAGTGGCTTTTGCCATACATTGACATGAATTTGCCATGGATTTACATGGCATTTACATCCCCATCCTGAACCCCCCTCCCACTTCCCTCCCCATCCCATCCCCCTGGGTCATCCCAGTGCACCAGGCCCGAGCACTTGTCTCATGCATCCAACCTGGACTGGTGATCTGTTTCACACTTGATAATATACATGTTTTGATGCTGTTCTCTCAGATCATCCCACCCTCACCTTCTCCCATAGAGTCCAAAAGTCTGTTCTATACATCTGTGTCTCTTTTTCTGTCTTGCATATAGGGTTATCGTTACCATCTTTCTAAACTCCATATATATACATTAGTATACTGTATTGGTGTTTTTCTTTCTGGCTTACTTCACTCTGTATAATGGGCTCCAGTTTCATCCATCTCATTAGAACTGATTCAAATGAATTCTTTTTAATGGCTGAGTAATATTCCATGGTGTATATGTACCACAGCTTCCTTATCCATTCGTCTGCTGATAGGCATCTAGGTTGCTTCCATGTCCTGGCTATTATAAACAGTGCTGCGATAAACATTGGGGTACACGTGTCTCTTTCAGATCTGGTTTCCTCAGTGTGTATGCCCAGGAGTAGGATTGCTGGGTCATATGGCAGTTCTATTTCCAGTTTTTTAAGGAATCTCCACTGTTCTCCATAGTGGCTGTACTAGTTTGCATTCCCACCAACAGTGTAAGAGGGTTCCCTTTTCTCCACACCCTCTCCAGCATTTATTGCTTGTAGACTTTTGGATAGCAGCCATTCTGACTGGCGGTGACACACATTTTTAAAAATCGTATGAGTTTTCCATATGTATCATGGGTTTATACTAGGGCACTTGAGATACACACCAGGCTTATTGGCAGTAGACACTGCTGTTGCTGCTGCTAAGTCGCTTCAGTCATGTTCAACTCTTTGCGACCCCACAGACAGCAGCCTACCAGGCTCCTCTGTCCCTGGGATTCTCCAGGAATGAATACTGGAGCGGGTTGTGATTTCCTTCTCCAATGCATTCATGCATACTGAGTCGCTTCAGGTGTGTCTGACTCTGTGCAACCCTATGACAGGAGACATTGCTCACATGCAAAGTCTTCTCTCTCCCCATTGACCTACCAATACGTGTGCTTTCTAATAGAACAATGAAGTTCACACTAACATTTTTCTCATCACTCTGGCACATTTTCTTATCACAGCTGCCACATTGACTAGCAGGTTGTCCGGAATACATGGCCACAGTTGATTCTAGTTGTGTTCTTAGATCATGGCCATATAGTTGAACATTCTCTAGCTTGAAGATCAGGTTCCTTTGACTTTGGGCTTAAAGGAACCTATAGATCAATAACCTTCAGAACAAAGGTAATCCTGGTAATCCACACAAGGAGGCTCTAACAGCTCAAATACCTCTACTCCAACAAGTTGGGAAATGGACATGCTGCAAGGTTCCATCTGTCTTAGAAAGGCATACATCCATTAGGCATTAAGAAAGCCCAACTGTGGCTGAAGAGAGATACAAAAACCTTCTGGATGACATCTGGAAGAATTAAATTCCCTTCACCCCTGCCCTCCTCCTACTATTTTGTTCACATCACTTGATTAATATCCATTATAGTTGAAAACCTTACTCCGTCCCTAAAGTGACAGTGCAATGTCTATGGCTAATTATTTTTGTATCCCTCTTTAATGATGCAGTGTTGGAGATATTGTTGTTCTTGTTCAGTCACTCAGTCATGTCCTGCAACCCCATGGACTGTAGCACACCAGGCTTCCATGTCCTTCACCATCTCCTGGAGTTTGCTCAAACTCATGTCCATTGAGTTGGTGATGCCATCCAACCATCTCATCCTCTGTCATCCCCTTCTCCTTCTGCCTTCAATCTTTCCCAGCATCAGAGTGTTTTCCAATGAGTCAGCTGTTCACACCAGGTGGCCAAAGTATTGGAGCTTCAGCTTCAGCTTAAGCCCTTTCAATGAATATTCAGGGTTGATTTGCTTTAGGATTGAGTGGTTTGATCTTGCTGACCATTTGAATCTCAAGAGTCT